CACTCAGTGTTCATAACTACTGAGCCATCTCTCTGGCCCCAAATTTTCTTATTTTTGAGACAAGGTCTTATTATGTAGCCCTGGCTGGCCTGAATTCAGAGCTCTGTCTACCTCTGCCTCCAAAGTGCTAGTACTGAAGGCATGTGCCACCATACCCAGTCAAAAAATTTTTTTAATTTACAAAGTTATATTATAGGGCCTGGAGGGATGGTTCAGCTGGTAAAGTGCTGACTGTGCAAACACAAAGACCTGAGTTTGATCTCCAGCACCCAGGTAAAAATCTGGACATGGCAGATCATATGTATAATCCCAACACTTGGGAGAAGGCAGGAAGATCAAAAGTTCAAGGTCATCACAACTATATAATAGGTTTTAAGACTAACCTGGGCTATATGAGGCCCTGACTCAAGAAGGGGGGAGGGGAATGCTAGGGAGATGGCTCAGTAGATAAAGTGTTGAGTTTAGATGTTCAGCATCTATATAAAAGCTGGGCATGGTGATGTGAATCTGTAGTCCCAGCACTGAGATGAACACAAAGATAGGCAGAGTCTGGGGGCTTGCTGGCCAGCCAGTATAGCTAAAACCAAGAGCCCCAGGTTCAGTGAGACCCTTTCCAAAAAAAATAAGGGCAGTAGGAAAACTCCAGGTATCAATCTCTCCCTCTTCCCCCCAACCCCCGCCAACATACGCACAAAGTAAGAAAGGTGAAGTTAAGTGATTGAGGAGGACAGCCAAGGTTGATCTCTGGCCTCCACATGCAGGCATACACACTTGCATCCATACCAGCATATATGCAAGCACAAACGTGCACACACATACAAAAAAAAAAATATGTTATAGAGGGATTTATACTTGAATTACAATTTTGACATGTAATCTTAGGAAGGAAAACACATACCCTAAGCCTCAAAATTACTATTCAAAATTCTAAGAAAGAGCCCCCCAAATACATATGGCATATTCTTTTATACAGCACTGTACCAATATTGAAAAGAAAGAAAAAATAGGCTAGTAAGGAAAAGGTTAATGCACACAACAGGTACAAATCATCTTACAATAAAAAGAAAAATCTTTCCAAGATAGACGGCAGAGGATGGATATCCTTACCATTAGACTTCTCTACCTTGCTTTAAAAAAAAAAAGTAAATTTTGCCTGCTGAAAGCCTCCTGCTTCTATTCTTTATTTTTTGGTTTTTTTGACAGGGTCTCCCTGTAGCCCCAGCTGGCCTGGAACCTGTTATGTAGACCAGGCTAGAGATTTTGCCTGTCTATGCTGAGATTAAAGACATGTACCACTGGCTTGCTTTTTAGAGTCTAGACTCCAGAGGCTGTAGAGATGGCTCAGCAGTTAAGAGCACTGGCTGTTCTTGCAGAGGACTCGGGTTCGATTCCCAGCACCTACATGGCAACTAACAACCACCTGGAGCTCCAGTTCCAGGGGAATCCAGTGCCCAGTTTTCTGACTTCTGTGGGCATTGCATGACATGGGTACACTTGCACACATGCAGGAAATACACTCATACACATAAAACAAAAATAATAAAAATATCTAAAAAAATAAAGACTAGGGGGCTGGAGAAATAGCTCAGCAATTAAGAGCACTGACTGCTCTTGCAGAGGACCCGGGTTCAATTCCCAGCACCCACATAGTGGCTATGAACCATCCTTAACTCCAGTTCCAGGGGACTCCGAAGCCCTCTTCTGACCTCCGGGGCATTGCATGACAGGTGCACTCACATACATGCAGGCAGTACACTCATCAAATAAAAATAAATAAAATATTAAAATACCAAGATCACTTAGGTATCTACTAAAACAACAGTTCAATAATTCTGTAAGTTTTACATACAAGAATTAATTCCAGGGGCTGGGCAGTTAAGAGCACTGGATGCTCTTACAGGGGACCTGGGTTCAGTTTTCAACACCCACATGGCAGCTAATAACCATCTGTAACTCAAGTTCCAGAGGATACAATGCCCTCTTCTGGTCCCTGTGGCCACTGCATGCATGGGTGCACTTACATACATGCAGCAGGCAAAACATTCACACACACAGTAAAATAAATACTTTTGCTGGGTTTGGTAGTACATGCCTTTTGATCCCAGCACTCGGGAGGCAGAGGTAGGCAGATTTCTCAGAGTTCAAGGCCAGCCTGGTCTACGGCAGAGGTAGGCAGATTTCTCAGAGTTCAAGGCCAGCCTGGTCTACCTAACGAGTTCCAGGACAGCTGGGGCTACAGGGAGACCCTATCTCAAAAAAAACCAATAAATAAATAAATTTTCAAAAATTAATTCCAGGCAACTGGAGAGATGGTTCAGCAGATAAGAGCACTGACTGTTCTTACAGAGGACTGGACTTCATTTCCCAGCACCCACAAGGCAGCTCATTGCATGACAAAGATACACTTAAATTCAGGTAAAACACTCATACACATAAAGTTAAAAAGGGAGGGGAGGCTGAAGAGATGGCTCAGAGTTTAAGAACACTGACTGTTCTTGCAGAAGACCCAGGTTCGAATCCCAGCACCCACATGGCAGCTTACAACTGTCTGAAACACCGGTTCCAGGAGATCTGATGGCCTCTCTGTCCTCTGCAGGCACTGCATGACACAGGTACACTTACATACATGCAGGCAATACACTCATACACACAAAATAAAAATAAAAAATTCTGCCAGGCATGACGGCACATGCCTTTAATCCCAGGAGTTTGGAGACAAGGCAGGCAGGTACTTCTGAGTTCAAAACCAGCCTGTTCTACATGGAAAGTTCTAGACCAGGCAAGGTTACAGCGAGACACTCTCAAAAAGTAAAAGAAAATAAACACATACATAAATGCATATAGCAATGGCTACCTGAGAAGAAGTTTTGGAGCATCCTCTTTTGTGTTCCCAAATAAAAGTCTAATTCAATAACCATCAGAGCCAGGCAGAGTGGTGCACATCTTTAATGCTAGAACTTAGGAAGTTGAGGCAGGCGGATCTCTGCCAGCTCCAGGCCAGTCTGGTCTACATAGCAAATTTCAGGCCACCTGGGGCGACAGCAAGACCTTGTCTCAAAAACCTTTAAAAATTAAAAAAAGAAAATTTAATCAAAAATTTAAGACATAAAAAATTGTAATGTAACAAATGGATACACAAGACAAATCCCTGAAACAAAGCTCACCAGAACACAGCATCTTAGATATACTTGCCAATACATGTCAAACCCTTTTAATAGTCTCATTAAAAAAAAGGTGTTGGGCCTGGTGTGGTGGTGCACGCCTTTAATCCCAGCACTCGGGAGGCAAGCGGATCTCTGTGAGTTCAAGGCCATCCTGGTCCACATAGTGAGTTCTAGGACAGCTGGAGCTACAGGGAGTCCCTGTCTCAAAAAGACAAAAAAAAAAAGGTGTTGGGGGGCACTGGGGAGATGGCTCAAAGGTTATGAGCACTAACTGCTCTTGCAGAGGACCAGGGTTCAGTTCCCACAACCCACATGACAGCTAACAACTGCATGTAACTCTAGTTGCAGTGGACCCGACGCCCTCTTCTGGCCTTCATAGGCATTGCATACATACATGCAGGCAAAACATTCATGCATGTGAAATAAAAATTATTAAAATATATATATATATATTTTTTTTTGAGACAGGGTTTCCCTGTAGCCCCAGCTGGCCTGGAACTATGTAGACCAGGCTGGCCTTGAACTCACTGAGATCTTCCTGCCTCTGCTTCAGAGTGCTGGGATTAAAGGCGTGTGCCACCACGCCAGGCAAAATATATTCTTTTAAAAAAAGGGGTGGGATGGGGACTAGTGAGATGGCTCAGCAGTTACAAGTACTTGTTGATCTTACAGAAGACCAGGGTTGGAGCTCACAACCATCTGTAACTCCATCTCCAGGGGCTCTGATGCCCTCTCTTCCAGCTTCTACAAACACCAGGCACACACGCAGTACACATACATACATGAAAACACACATGCATATAAAATAAAAGTAAATCTTAAAACAGACAAGGTGGTTCACACCAGTAATCCCAGCTTTCAGAAGTTGAGACAGGAGGATTATTACACATTCCATACCATCCTGGGCAATAGTGTGAGAGCTTATCCAGACTCTGTCCCCAAACAAGCAAATAGCAAATAAAAGGAAAATAAAATCCAGTTCAAGAAGCCTGGAGCCCTTCTCAAAAAGTGAGGATCACCACAAAATTAATATTAGAGCCATTTGTTTTCTTTTCTTCCAAACTCAGTCTAAATACGGAGCCAGGAGAAACCACCATACAGTCTTTACTTCAAGACCTTTCAAGTCAGCAAATTTCACATACTACATACAATGCTGTGGCTTTCCTTCTATCCTATACAAAAGCAAATTCAAATGTCTGAAATGAACCTGTGGTATGGTGAACAGTACTAATAAAGCTCTCTTTGACTAACGAAAACAAAAACCAAATTCTTAAATTCCAATAGGGAAACCCTGAGAGGCAAACAGGAACTAAGAATATTCAAATATACACACAAGCTCCCAAATTATGACAAAAATTTCCTAAATGCCTCCCAAAATATAAAACAGACCTTTATCAGCATCCAGCATTCTGTCCTAATCCATCCTCTCCAAACTTATTAAATTAATTATACCAGGGTAGCCACACTGTAATTAAAAGTATTCCATAACTTTATAACTCCCCAGCTCAAAAATTACAAAATTCTAAATAATCAAATAATAGTAATACTAAAGTATTACAGAAGTATCCTTCCTCAGTTTATTCTAAAATTCTAATGTAACATTCAATTCCATTTACTTTGAGGTCAGTAGTCCAAGTTAAGAATCTGTCTCACTGTAATCCACAAAATCCTTTGATTTGCAATGGATTCTACTCCATTTCCAAACAGCTACTAGAATTCCAATTCTAGCTACTCAAAACCCAAATGGGATATCACTGTACCTTCCCCTTGCCTCTTGTTTACAGAAAAGCCACCTAAAATTATTACTTCAAAAGGAGTGGGAGTTGGGATACTAACCAATCTCTGGCTGTACCGAATCCTTTCTTCTTCGGGTTCCATCGCTTACTCTTCTGATCAAAGTACTGTAAAAAAACCACTCCAGGGCTGCCTTCCTCTTCCTCCTTAGGAACCAAATCGAAATGAACAGAAATGAGAGCTCGTTCTCAAACAACACTAGCTACTCACAGAACTCAGAGAAAAGGGGGGTCCCCCTCTTCATGAGTTAGGAACCTCTAGCTCTTGGGCAAGTGGCTCCATGTCTTGTCAACATGAACCACCACATCACAAGTGTCCCAGGTCTAGGCAAAGGAGACACTGGTTTCAGTTCCTTAGGACCAGGGCACTTTGTTTCTGCCCATGGATTGCAGTAGCAAGGGTCCCCTTCATGGCAGCATCAGCCAAAAATTTGAGGGAAGGGAAAGGAGAGCGCCCAGGACTTTTATTTCTAGAGCGCTGACCCACCAGGTGAAGCACGCACAGAACTAATCCAGATCCTAAACAAATGAGTTCTCACACTGGTAATTAAAACTATGGGCAAGCCGGGCAGGCGACTATACAAAAAAAGAGCAGGTTTTACAAAAAGGCTCGGAAATGATTCTCCATCCCCCTCCAGGAAAGCGCACAACAACCGCCACCTTTCCACAACGACCCTCCGCCCCAACACAAGATGTACACAACTCTGAAACAAATTTGGGAGTCCCAAATCCGAGACAGAAGCACCGTCCAATGTTGACGGGCAAATCATAAACGAGATGCTCCGATCTGTGGATACGAGTGAAATATCCAGTAAATCTAACCCAAGCGGTGGGCGCGACGATCCCGCGCTCCGCAAGGGCTCGGCTGCCGGACCGCCTGTCCACGGATAATGGCTTCCACGGGGAAGGCCATGGTCTCCCCTCCTGTTCTCTGGGCCCCGCTAACCAAGTGCTTCCAGAGGACCCTTTGACAGTGTCAGAGCGGTTCGGGTCGCTGCCCTCCGGGGGAAGCCCGGGCCTGGGTCGTGAGGACCCTGAGCTCGGGACACAAGCCGGTGGGGAGAACCCCGAAAAGGCGCTCCTCCGGCTTGCCCCTCGACAAGAAACGCAAACTTTGCACCAAGTCTTCAGGCAACCCGGGGATTCAAACTTCCCAGGGCAGGGGAGGGGGGAGGGGACGTCTCACCCGGGCTTCGGCTCCTGAGTTCGGGTCCAACTGGGAAGTACGGTTCCAAACACTGGGAGGAAAAAAAAAAAAAAAAAAAAAAAAGGAAATCCCACACGTCGTCCTCTTCTCTCTCCGCGTTCTTGACCCCGTGTCACAGAGCGGGTCGGAGCGACCCGGAAAGGAGAGGGACCAGTCGCCGAATCAAAGCACCGCTCCAGCCTCGGAGGAACGGAGCACAGCCCGTAGCGCCTCCCCCGGGCCCGGCTCAGCACCTACAGCACCCGGCAGACCCGGGAGCACTCCCCGCGCGGAGCCCCGGAGCCGCGGCCGATCAGCTGAGACCCGCCGGGCCGACACTCCCCGCGCCGCCCGGCCCCCCGGAACGCGGGCCCTGGCCCCGGGGGGCGGAGAGGGCGGGAGCGGCACGCCGAGGCGGCCGGGGGAGGCCCCGAGCTGCCCTCCGGTCCGCCGCACAGCCCCGGGTTCCGCGCTGCGGGACGATCCCGCGGCTACTCCCCAGTCGCAGAAAAGGGACTCCGGGGGATGGGCCGCCCGGCGTTGCCCTCCTCCCGAAGCGCCCGCGGCCCGGGAGAGCAGCAGCCAGGACAGGCCCAGGAGCTGGGAAGCTGCTCGGCGACCTGCCGTCGCCGCCGCCGCCCGGGAGGGGTGTTGTTTCCCTCACACAGGAGGAGCCGCTGAAGCAGCCGCCGCCATTTTGAACCCGTCAGACTCTCACATACACACAGCTCCTCCGGGCGCACTGCGCAGGCGCAGTCTCTCCACCTCCCCCCACACACACCTCCTTCAGGCCTCACGGGCGCTCCTTACCGCTCTCCGGGGGCGCGCGAGAACGCGCACGCGTCACTCCCCTCCACCGCGGACACGACGTCGGCGCGCGCACGCGCGAATGCGTCGGCCTCGAATTGCCCGCGCCCCCGCGACGCCGTCGCCGTCCCCCCCCCTCCCCGCCCCAAACACCTCGCGTCAGCCCGCACGCCCTCCCGCCCCCGCTCCCCGCCTGCCTCCTCTTCCAGGTCCCAGGCATGGCAGGATGCCTGCGCTTGCGCAGAGGTTGCGGCCAGCCTCCGCGCGCGCCCTCCCCCACACACCCTCGATCCGACACACACACTTCGCCTGTGACCCCGCCCACCGCCGGCCAGCTGCGCCGGCCGCTAGCCTTCCCCCATCTCTCCAGGGAGGGCGGTGACACCCCCTACCAAGCACAGCACCCACCTCTCCCCCCAAGCACCGGGCAGCAGCACCACCGGGGAGCCGCATCTCCCCTTCCCTTCCAGGCGCCCTGGGGCCCGCCAGAGTCACAGCACATGAGGCCCGGGCGGCCTGGGCCAGGGCGGCCGTTGCCTGCGTTCACGCGGGGGTCCCTGAGGTCAGGCCGCCGACACCAGCGTCCACCCGACCCCAGCGCCCCGGCTCGGGCCTGCTTAGACCAAGGTGGGCCGCAGGGAACGGCGCCCTCCCCGCCCTCCCTCGCGCCGAGGCCCACCTGCTTCGCCATCCCGGGCCAGGCCCTGCAGCCCCCGCCAGAGACCAGGCCGCGCTGGGCTGGGGGGTTGCGGGGAGCTCCTCGGGGCAGCGGCCCGACCCCGCCTCACCCACTCCTCGCCGCTCCGAAGGGGCAGGAAACGGGAGTATCATGTCTGTCCCGGGCTCGGCTCCCCCTCTACCCGGGGCGCTCCGGGAGGGCGTCCACAGGTGCCGTGCGCGCGAGAGCCTGGGCTCCACGACGGCTCGGAGAGCGGCGGCCGCCAGCGTGCCCACCGCGGGCCACAGGCGCCCGGGGAGGAGGCCCAGGAAGCCCCTGCGCTCGGCCACTCTCAGGTTTCCGCTTTTCCGCAGCCCCCGTGCCCCCGGCGGCCCCCGGGGGGGGGCGGCCGTGACCCCGCCCCCGGCGAGTCGGGGTGCCCCCCACGGAGGGGGTGCCGGCCGCCCTCCGCCCCTAGGCCGCGGCATGCGCGGGGAGGCCCGGCCGGGAAGATGTCTGCTGTCGGTGCGCGCAGCTTCGCGCGAGGGGCAGCGACGGGGCTGCGGCGGCTCTGCCCTGCTGACGGGTTCCCGCAGCTCAACCGCTGCCCGACGGGCTAGCAGGCTGCGGACGTCGACGAAGCCCGGCCGGCCGGAGGTAGCCGGAGGTAACCGAGCGGTGCACTGCTAGCAGCCCGACTGCGCTCGGGGCAGTTCCCCAGCCAATCTCGTGCTTTGGGGCCCGTTTAAATTGGAAATCCACAAAGGACGGTGGCCTGGGCGTTACGCATCCAAGGGCTGGAGGTTGGCACTCGCTCTCCCTTCGCCTAGTGGTGTCCACATGCGTCTTTGTCTCCTTGCCTTGGTTTCCAACTCTTCAAGCTCTTTGGATGCCTGAGAGTCGGGAATGGAGGAGAGAAGGAAGACGAGGATAATGCTAAACAGCGGTTAAGTCTTTAGGAAGATATTAGTGGTAGACGGTTGAAAGCATGATCCCTTCTTTTCCCCCATCACGGTTTGATTAAACCCAGGATGGTATTTTAAGACAGCACGAGGTTTTATTACATGCACACACTTTTTACAGACATTTTCTGCTTTGGCTGTCACATCTTTAGGAGATGAGGGAAAAGAGCATTGTGTCTTTTGAACTCTTTTTCAAGAGAGACAATTGGGGTGTAAAGGTTAAACTGCGTAATTAGTAGAACAGAGAAGTCCGGAGTTCTGTAACTACCACCAGAAATATCTCGTAACAAAAATGGTTGGGTTAGTATGGTATCATCATCATCTGTCAGTCATGAGCCATGCCATCTTTCATTCTGATACCAATTGCTTTCAGACCTTAGATTTCAGAACATTGATTCCAAGAGATAAGCCCTGAAACCTTATTAGATTTAAGGTGCCTTTCAACCTTTCGGGCCATAGTAAAACATATTTTTAAAGCAGTAATTTTAGCCAGGTGTGTTGACTCACCTGGGGAGGTAATCCTAGCATTCCGGAGGCTGAGGCAGAAAGATTGCCTTGAATTTAAAAACACCCTAGGCTATATAGTAAGTTCCAGGCCAGCCTAGACTACGGAATGTGACACTGTCTCAGCAAAAAAGCAGTAGTCTTTCAGTCTTTCATATCCAGTAACAGGTATGGCCCTCTAGTCATCTGGCTTTCTATAAGCTACAAAAAAAAAAAAAAAAAAAAAAAAAAAAAAAAAAAAACAAAAAAAAAAACTCAGCAACTTGTTTTGAAACAAGAAAGACTGTTGCCACTGTCCATTAGTTAATTGTTGAACCTCATGGCTATTTGCCAAATAAACAGCTTTATTTCCTTCCCATTAGTCCCTATAGCCCAGGAAATACTTGGGGGTGTGGGGGGTGAAGGGCTGGCATGGTGGCACATGCCTGTAATCCCAATACTGGGAAATTGATGCAGGAGGCTCATCTTCAAGGCCAGCTGAGCTACATAGTGCATTCAAGGCCAACGTGACTGTTTCAGAGGGAAGTAGGATCCCTAGCTGTAACTAAACTTTGTCTTGCCCTTGTAGGGACCTTCTATTATAAGTTTAGCTCAGGTAGGGGTGCTGGAAGGAAAGCTCCAGAACTGCAACTTAACCCATGGTACTTATTTTGAACAGGACCACAAGTAGAACCAGAATTGTCAAGCTGCATCCAGCTCTTTTCCAGTTGAAAATCATTTGTTAAACTACTCTCCAATGGGAGAAATGGTTATTTAAACAGATAACACCCAGTAGTGTGTCTGCAGGCTGGCTCTGTAAATAGAGCAAAGCAGATGTGCAGGGTACCGTACTAGAGAACGGATAGCTAGTCACCCCCCACCCCCCAAAGTGGCTCTAGTTGGTAGGGGCAGATGTGTGAGGCCTACTCTTTTGTCCTAAAAGACCCATTCCAGGAAGACCAGAGCTAGGGAGATTTCCCCAAGAAGGCCAATAAATCTGTGGACTTTATCGCTTCAACCGTGGCTGAAGAGAGAAGGGATGTGTGGTGTATGGAAAGAGAGAGAAAAAAATCCTAAACTCACTGAGAGGATAGTTCCTGTGTGTAATAATCTCATGTCTTAATGAGGTGTAAGTTCATCTCTGCTTTTTGTGTGCGTGTGTGTGTGTGTGTGTGTGTGTGTGTGTGCATTTACATGGAGGCCAAAGGACAACCTTGGGTCTCATTCCTCAGGCACCATCTACTTCTTTTCTTCTTTTTGAGACAGGGTCTCCCACTGCCCTGGAACTCCCCAAGTTAAGCTAGGCTAGCCGGCTGGGGAGCCCTGTGCCTCCCCAGTGCTAAGAATACAAGCACTCACCATAAACACTGTATTAACAAATGTTCTCTAGATTGATTACTGAACATTTCCCACTATCTACCTCCACTACACAAGCTCTTTGTTGGTAGGAAATGAACTGCCTTTGTATCGCTCAAAGACATCCTGAATCAGAATTCCATAATGTTTCAACACTAGGAATGAAACCTGGGTGTTGGTGATCGTGACCTAAGGGGTGAGAGGACATTGTCTTGGAGCCTGGAAATAGAATCTGAATGGATCATGGGGTAAATCCATAAACACCCTGAAGATTCTTCTATCATTGGGCATGGAATGTAGTTGACCCCTTCCTTGAGACCATGGGACCTCAGCCCTCCCTGGCCCAGTACCCTTCTGTCACCATCATTCTGGCATTTGGCCTGCCTTTGTGAAGGAAGACCTGCCTCACTTGAGTGGTTGGGTGACTTTGGCTATTGGAGCAGCTGCAACAGCATCTGAGATCCACCTGTTATTTCCGTGGTCTTAGTATTGCTGTGGGGCTAGGTTACCCTCAATTCCCATTTCTAAAAGAATGGGTCCCCTGCCCTTAACCAAACAGAGATGCAGAACCCCTGTGACTCACCTGTACCTGTGCTCACTGTGGTGAAGTTTTTGGTACTGTGGGTTTCGGAGTGTTTTTGTCGTTGTGCTTGATGGCTGGCTTCACATGGTGCTAATAGTTGCTCCTGCTTCAGCCACATCCTCTAAGGACCACTTGCCTGAGTACTATGTCCAGACCCTCCCAGCAGGTCAGGGCTTGGTTTACCTCCTCCGAGGGCAGTCACCGCTTCTTCTGCTGAGGCTGCTTTTGGAGGGGTACTTAACAGTTTTGTGTTATTAGCCTCCTGTTTTAACCTATCAGAAACTCTTCTCCTGAATAAAACAGAGACAATAACTCTTGGCCTGTTTCTTTCTAGGATTGTGGAGTCAAATAACAAAGGCATGGATGTCCTTTGGAAGCTGGGAGACAAAACATGTTAAAAGGATTGCTGTTTGTTGGAGTGGGGAGGAGTGCTAGGGATCAAACTCAGGGTTTCCTTACATGCTAGGCAAGTGCTGTATCACTGCAATGCACCCCCAACTGATACACTCCCAACCCTGTCCTCTAGACACATTTTTAAACAGGGTCTTACTGTGTAGCCCTGGCTGGTCTGGAACTTGGAGAACCACCTCCCTCTGCCTCCTGAGCCCCAGGATCAAAGACTTTTTTTTTGTTGTTGTTCCCCTTTGGTCTTTTTGAAGCAGGGTCTCCCTGTAGTCCCACCTGTCCTGGAACTCACTGTGTAGACCAGGCTGGCCTTGAACTTACAGAGATCTGCCTGCCTTTGCCTCCCAAGTGCTGGGACTACAGGCCACCACCACGCCCAGCAAAGACTTGCTTTTTTAAGGCAGGGTGTCATAATGTAGCCCAGAATGGCCTAGAACTCTAGATCCTCCTGCCTTAACCTCCTAAGCATTGAGATTATAGGCATGTACACCATTGACACCTGGCAGAAGACTTTACCATTTAACCTTGAAGACTTCATGTATTGGAAAAGACACCGTGAGGATGTGGCACACTTAGCAAACAGCCTTCATTATAATGAATCACTGGAAGCTACTGTGGTCAGTAAGAACTGGACATAGACTCGGACCAGATGAAAGCCCCTTGGGGAGGAAGGAGTTCTTCACATCAATGCATTCCCAGGGCCTGCTAACGGCACCAGGCCAAGCAGATGTTCCTTCATTACTGTGTAGTAAACAAGTGGATTAAGTGATGCAGTGATGCTTTTTGAAGAGGGAGGAGTGTAGAGGCTGGAGGGATTTGAATCCCTGCAGAGGAGTGTGGTTGAGGTAGTAGAGTAAGAGAGGCAACTGTGCTCTAGAGCAGAGGGTTGATGCAATAGCAGTTCCCCCAGGGAAACTGTTCCTTAGCTGCCGCTGCAGCTGGAGTAGAGGTGCCAGCAACCTCTGCTCCCCCTGCAAACCAAGCCAAGGGTTGAGCATGCGCATCTCAGGCCAACTTCTCCATCTTTCTATCTCAGCTTCTCTCATGATCTGGTCTTCAGATGTGGGTCTTCAGAGTCCACAGCAGAGCCCCTCCTCTCCTTGACTTATGAGGAGCAAGACACTTGCCCAACCTCTGAGCAAAAGAGTCAGCTTTTTTGTTTTTGTTTTTTGAAACAGGTTCTCACGTGTCCCAAGCTGGCCTCCAATTGGTTTGTAATTGAGGATGCCCTTGACTCACCTGGGATTACAGATGTGGGCCACCACACCCGGTATTGGGGATTGAGCCCAGTGCTTCAGTCAGTGCTCGACCACTGAGCTACACCTCTGTCCCTCAGCACAGCTTTTGCTTTGATTTTTCTTCTTTTAGACAAGATAACACTACATAGCCCTGATTGGCCTGGAACTCACAGAGATCTGCCTTCCTCTGCCTCCCAAGTGCTGGGATTAAAGGTGTACACCACCAAACCTGGCTTGTTTTTTAATTAATTAACTACTTTGTATTTTATGTGTATAAGTGTCT